GCGTTTTCTGTTTATAAAAGAAATTTTGCTGACACAGATTATTGATACTGCTAAAGAGCAACATGTGATCATTGTATTTTATCTATAATTAACAGGAACAAAACAAAAACTCAGTAAGTTCTTGAATTAACGCTTTTTTTTTGTTGTTGTTGCTGTTTGTTTTTTAGCACTGTTCAAACATTTAATTTTAGCTGAAAGAAACAGAAAAGCATATAAGAGCAGTGGTGTCGGTTACAAATGAAGACGAAATAAAATGCTGGATTTAGAAGCAAAAGAAAAAATTGGAAAACACTTTTGTTAAGGTAATATCAAACTTGTCCTCATATCGTTTGGTACAATTATTTCCAATTTCTAAATAGGTGATGATAATAAAATGACTGGAATCTGGTGCTGTTTTTAAAGAACACAAACTTGAACGACAAAAAATCTGTATTTCCAACTGAGAAGAAGAAATTATTTATACAGCTATTGCGTACAACAAAGATGTTGGTAATATATGGGTATATTTATTCCTTGTTGTTTACACTCGTATACTACTGATAACAGGTCTACAGAGACGTTAGAATTGTCATCTGAACAACAAGTATTCCCAGCCACAATATAACTTGTGTTCTGTTCTAAAAAAAAAAAAAAATTCTTTTCAAACATCATTTTTTGCTCTTCAATTCCGGGAGAAGTCTTACTGGACGAGCAGTATCACTCTATGCTTATCTTTACATACGTTGAAACAAAGATACAATGTTTTTGTGGTGCCATATAAAGAAGCCAGTTTTGATGACAATAAAATTTTTAATTTTTCATCACAAATTTTCTTCTTCTCTTCTTCGTCTTTTTTTTCTTCCCTCTTTCTAAAAATATGCAAATTTTATGCTGTTTATCTAGTAATGCAACTTAACGGTATAAACCATAATTACACGATAAATTATAGCATACAATTTTTTTTAAAAGTTTTCAATAATTTTCTTTCGTTTACAGGAAAATGAAAATAATTATTGAAGATAACGGTGCAAAAGCTGCAGAATTTGTGGCCCTATATATCAGGAAAAGAATCAATGATTTTCAACCAACAGAGGATAAACCATTCACGTTAGGATTACAAGCGGGTATCTTTCCAAACCATATACCATCCAGTTTTTGTACAATTAAAATTTAGACAAATTGTGGAAAAAAAATCATAACCGAACACTGTTGATACATCAAAAATGTGCGCATAGATTATATGCGTTACAAATGTACTAATTCGACTTAACATACAATAAACATAAAAGTATATTTTAGATCAACAAAAGTTTCATCAGCCGTTAATTTTGCATATCCAACCAGTTGTAGGGGGGAAAAAGAGATGATAAAAAGAAACAAATAGAATAATATTTCAGGTGATGATATGTTAGAAATGTACGAAAAACTTGTAGAATTACACAGACAAAACAAAGTTTCATTCAAAAATGTTATAACCTTCAATACGGATGAATACATTGGTACAGTTTTATTTTCCTAACAGATCAGGTTGAGTGGTTCTTGCAGAAATTTACAATAATTGTTGTTGACTTTTGTTAATTCTTTAGTCTTCTATGCCATAACAGCTCATGAATCAGGTTGCTTTAAAAGATAGACGTTTAAATTATGCTAATTAAATAACATTTATACACACATATATTCATCAATAAAAGATGGAAACTGTTGCTGTTTGGTTGCAACAAAATTTAGTATTACAAAAATTTGTTACAGCATGAAAACTGTTTTCCTATACTAATTTAGTCAAAATAAACTACATTTGCACATCACATTTATGACTATATTTTGTTAAATTATGATTTTCACTCTTTTTTTTTTTAATCCAAATTTGAAATGCAATCAGTTGAAAATATTTAACGATAATAGTGGAAAACGAAAAACTCTAACATTGACACCCTTTTCCTTCATTTTTTTTTCTCTTCCCAATGTAAATTCGAATATTCAAATTTTAGGGCTTCCACGTGAATCTCCACAAAGTGCTCATACGTTTATGTTAAAAAATTTTTTCCGCCACACTGATATATTACCAAAAAATGTCAACATACTAGACGGAAATGCAGAAGACTTGGACAACGAATGTGCAGAATACGAGAAAAAGATCACTCAGGCTGGTGGTATCGAATTGTTTGTTGCCAGTAAGCAACAGCATGTTGAACAAACTTTGAACAACTTTCCAGAATACCAAATCCTCTTTAGTTTTACAATAAAAACTGATAAATAATTGCTTGTTAATAGATTAAAAAATTTCTTATTAAAGGCTGCGAACAAGACGGCAGTTTGGCATTCAACGAGCCAGGAAGCAGCTTAAATACACGAACTCGTGTCAAAACATTGTCGTTGGAAACCAAACAGGTTAGGATAAAATTAAAAATAATACTAACAAACATTTCTCTGCTACAAAGCTATACTCTTGCAAAAACAGTAATCTCGAAAAGCAGTTATCAGTACTGCAGTAACTTTTATTGGACTGTTTTGCAGTACCTGTCCAAATTCTTTTCTAACAATCCACAACTTGTACCACCGCGCGCCTTGACAGTGGGCGTCGAGACGTTGATGGATTCCCGTGAAGTAAGACTCTTTGAGTCTTCGTAAACTATGCTATTAATTTTAAAGTTCAATTATAATGAAGATTAAGCCAAGAAAACTAAACGAATACCTACTGAGAATGTCATATCAAAAACTGAAACCAATTTTCCAAATACTCGTATTTATTGGCTAAAGATACCGCTTGTTTTCCTTAATATAACTGGAAGAAATTCGCCTTCTTATATTATATTTAGTGCAGTTTATTTTGCTGCAAAATTAAACGTTGGCTTTCAAGACATTAACAAGAACATCTTAAACTGCTTCAAAAAAAGGCAGGCCACCAAAAAATAGTTTTGGTATTGATACTAGTTGTAAAAATTAACAGATTTGCAGGTAGTATTATTGGTGACTGGTGTCCAAAAATCTTATCCGCTCTATAAGGCAATAGAAGAAGGAATATCGCATATGTGTACATTGTCAATTTTCCAGATGCATCAAAAAGCAACATTCGTTATTGACGACGATGCCACTCTAGAATTGAAAGTCAAAACTGTTAAATATTTCAGGGAACTTATGAAACTTCATCAGAAGATGATAGAACTTAGAAAGTAGCTCATTTCTGTATATGTGATATTAGTGTCATTAAAGTTGTTGCAAAAAGAACAAAAATAATAATTCAATATCAGTTTGACCTACATGTAAACGAACTTCTTGCAACAATTTCAGAGGGATTTGTACAAACAAATCCTGCATCTACTTTTGTTGTTTATAAATTTTTGGTAAATTTATAGCATAAATTAAAAGGCAGAAGAAAAAAGATGGAAAAAAGCAAAAACATTTTCAATTAACAGTCTGAAATGGTGTTTACTGTGCCGCATAAGGGTTGTTGTTGTTGTAATCACAAATACTTTATATCAACGCCTCACCTGGGTGGATTATGCTGTCTAATTAGAACAGGTCTCCTAGCACATGATAAAGTTTTTGAACACTGTTAGTAAAGTCTGAACGTTAAAAAAAAATTTAACAACTGAGATAACAAAGAAATTGTAAAATTATGAAAACATTATGAACTGTAACATGCAATACCCTGCAACAGACTGTCGGTATTAACGATAAACTAATTGCTGGACCACTGAACATTACAGCAAAAAGAGTTACTTTCGATGCAATCACTTGTGCAATACCTACAGAATAATTTTTGGAGCTTTGCCATCATCTGGAATCTCTCATCGTCGTCGTCTAAAGGCCTCGGGGCCTTCCTGACACTTCTCTCAAGCATTGCTAATAGAAGTGTTGGATATCAGAAGTACGCATTCAAGTTTGAACTTTATAACCCATATTTATTTGATTAAGGAAGTTTCTTCTTCGTGATTTTAGTTTATTAGACAAAAGTCATTTTTAATGCAGTTTAATGTACAGTCTGTGCTCATAAAAAGTTCCCTTGCAACAGCATATAAAATTGTAACACCCAGAAGTTTGCTCTTGCATTCATTTCGTCGGTCTCTATTCGTACCTGCACGTCAACTCTGTTAAGCAGTGTGTTCAGTTCTATGCTTAAATACTTTCTGAGTTCTTGCAAGTTAAACCTTGCCTTTTCGCTTTCCAAGTCCCCAGCACTACTCATATTTGTTGCGGTCGGTTTCATATGAATCGTATAAACCAGCAGTTCTTGCAGGTTTACTAAAATATATTTTTTTTTCTAGATTTTCAGATGGAAACCGATGGATTTATATTTCCTTCAGAATGTGATGAAGATGCAGACTTTTTTCTCGATAATGAAATGGAAACTGTCCCAGTTGCTCCAAAGGAACATAACGAGGTTGCTGAGGATGATGGAGAAATTCCATTAGAAACATGTGCTGATGCTTTGAAAGAAGTTTTGGAAAAATATAAATCTGTAAAAAGCCAAATGAAGGAAAGAGAAACGCTTGCTTCTCAGGTAAAGGTTGTTCCAAATGTTGGCATTTCTGCAGTTCATTTCTTGTAATATAGTTTTTTTGTTATAGATTATTTGGTCGAGTTTCTAATGGAATTGATGTCCAGCTGTTTTCGAGCTGTTAACCAACTACTTTGCTCACTTTAACTTTGCAGCTTGCATTTGGTATTTATCTTCAAAGCGAGATGGACAAGTGCAGAAGCGATCGAGCAGATTTCCCCATACGTTTAGAATTCGAAGTAAAATTTTCTGCTTGGTAGTTTGGTTATCTCTTTCCTTCTCTCTTAAAAGCACCAATTGTAAGCAAGAACTATTCCGCTTCAGCTCCTTTCCGTTCTCGTCACCGATATTTTTGATGCTGATGATCAGTCGGGAAAGTGCCAAAGATGAATGGAGAGAAAATTTGTTTTGTAAACTTAGTATAAAGTATTTTGTTTAGGTCCGGAAACTGAGCTCTGGATCGAGCTTATTTTTGGTGACCCTTCGGAACATGGATGAATTCGTTCTGCTGCACTGGAGTGTAGTGTTCACAATATACCTCTTTGACCCCGAGGAGTGCACTGAAGGAGGTAACTTTCCGCAGGAGCATGTAATGATGCTTCAGCAATTAACCAGTAAATAAGAATCCGCTCAGGAACAGGAATTTGCAAATGTTTGAATCCCAAATTACTAACTATAGGCTATTGCAGATTTGGTGAAAACGTTTACAATTACAGTTCCAGTGGGCAGGCTTTCTAAAGAATCAGATTCTTCATTTGAAGTAAGCTTAGAACACTGTAAGCCAGGCCTGTGATCACTCATCATTTTGCACCTAATATTTCATCCCGTACGTCAAGAAAATACCGCTTTTCAGAGTGACTGAACTCATACAACTGCTTGTCTTTATCCTCTCTAATTCTAGATTTTCTGCACCAAAACGAAGTTTTTTTCTTGGCTTGTGCGGTCACAGCTTATTAAACTGTTGCCAATAACCGATGGACCTAAAGTTTTCCGCATAGAACTGGACGCTTACTATTATTGTCTTTGGAACGAAGTGCGAGTTTTAGCTTCAGTGGATCTTAAGGATACCCTGTTCAAAGATGGTGAGAACAAAAGGGCTGTAACTTACGACTTAAAAGTAGAGGTACTAGGTTACTCACTCACTAAAGCTACTTAGCAATTCAAAGCACCAATCCCCAAATAATTCGTCAAAAACTTTCCTGGCCCAGTATTTAGCAACTGTTGACTGATCTGTTCTAGGGGCAGAAATTAAAAATCCCTGACGCGCTTGTATTTCTTTTATGCAGTGGAGAGGTCTCTGCAATTGCTCTACTGAATTGGATACTCCGTTCTTCGACCGTTACACTGCCAGAAGCGAAATGTGCTTGTGACTACCTGGGTAAAAAGCATTTCTTCAGCGTCGCAGTGAAGAAAGAAAAAGGGACGTACCAGGTCGCCATTGAAGCTCGCAACCGGGAGGTGAGGCAGCATCTGACTCTTCAGTTGCAAACACGAATCTTGGTATGTCTTAATCGGCTCAAATTAAAATCTTCACAAAATGTTAATAAAGACGAATCCTTTCAAATTCCAGGTTTGGGCACGGCCAATACGTAAGATCTTGAAGGAGCAAAGTGAATGCACGCTCTTAACGGAGCCCACTTCGGTAGAGTCTTTCTTCAACAGTTATACCTCAAACTTCATTTCTTGATTTGAAAAACGGAGTCGGACTTGCGTTGGAGTTTCGACTTCACAACCAGCAAAAAGCACAAGTGCAGCAAAAGTAGCACCTTTCTGACATTTGTGCCGTACTTACAAGAGGCAAATAAAGTTTTAATGCACAGCATTACGACAGATACAAGCAAAAAAACCCAAAGATTCACAACAGGAATTAGATTACAAATTTGGTGTCATAAAAA